GGCACAATAGGTGTACAGACCCGGGAACTCAGCTCAGGGATGGTGGGAGCCCCTCATAATGGGCACAGCAGGCGTACAGACCTGGGAACTCAGCACAGGAATGGTGGGAGCCCTTCATAATGGGCACAATAGGTGTACAGACCCGGGAACTCAGCTCAGGGATGGTGGGAGCCCCTCATAATGGGCACAGCAGGCGTACAGACCTGGGAACTCAGCACAGGAATGGTGGGAGCCCTTCATAATGGGCACAATAGGTGTACAGACCCGGGAACTCAGCTCAGGGATGGTGGGAGCCCCTCATAATGGGCACAGCAGGCGTACAGACCTGGGAACTCAGCACAGGAATGGTGGGAGCCCTTCATAATGGGCACAATAGGTGTACAGACCCGGGAACTCAGCTCAGGGATGGTGGGAGCCCCTCATAATGGGCACAGCAGGCGTACAGACCTGGGAACTCAGCACAGGAATGGTGGGAGCCCTTCATAATGGGCACAATAGGTGTACAGACCCGGGAACTCAGCTCAGGGATGGTGGGAGCCCCTCATAATGGGCACAGCAGGGTGTATAGACCCGGGAACTCAACACAGGGCTGGTGGGAGCTCCTCATAATGGGCACAGCAGGTGTACAGACCTCGGAACTCAGCACAGGGATGGTGGGAGCTCCTCATAATGGGCACAGCTGGAGTACAGACCTGGGAACTCAGCACAGGAATGGTGGGAGCCCTTCATAATGGGCACAATAGGTGTACAGACCCGGGAACTCAGCACAGGGATGGTGGGAGCTCCTCATAATGGGCACAGCTGGAGTACAGACCCGGGAACTCAGCACAGGGATGGTGGGAGCTCCTCATAATGGGCACAGCTGGAGTACAGACCCGGGAACTCAGCACAGGGATGGTGGGAGCTCCTCATAATGGGCACAGCTGGAGTACAGACCCGGGAACTCAGCACAGGGATGGTGGGAGCTCCTCATAATGGGCACAGCTGGAGTACAGACCCGGGAACTCAGCACAGGGATGGTGGGAGCTCCTCATAATGGGCACAGCTGGAGTACAGACCCGGGAACTCAGCACAGGGATGGTGGGAGCTCCTCATAATGGGCACAGCTGGAGTACAGACCCGGGAACTCAGCACAGGGATGGTGGGAGCTCCTCATAATGGGCACAGCTGGAGTACAGACCCGGGAACTCAGCACAGGGATGGTGGGAGCTCCTCATAATGGGCACAGCCCCGGGTACTTGGCACATATATCTCACCAGTAAGGTCCCCAGAGATAGAGGATTGTTGGTGGATAGAATGGAGCAAATACATATTTCAGCTCTTAATCTGCAAGGCAGGCAGATCACGGCTGGTGGGAGGAGCCGGCAGGGTGCTGTACATAGCTTCCTGAACACATCACAGCATCCTGCCTCAGTACTGCTCTCAAGAGCCCTCAGCCCTGATGCAAGCAGTGAGAGGAGTTATGCAAATATCAAAATGCCTTGATGGGTTGATGTCGGTGTGGAGGAGGGGTGTTGCATGAATACTACCCCAGGTAACACCCACATGAGATGCTGAGCCTCCATGATTGAAAGAACTGAAAGCCAGTGAATGAAAGGGGGCGGGGCCAGGGCCAGTCAGGCCGGGGAGGAAAGGACTAGATGTCAGCCAGGGACATGACTCCCAAAGGCCGAGGGATGATGGGATTTGTTGTCTCCCCACACTTGGAGTACTGAGGTTGCCTCCCCCTGATTTATGTGAATTGAGCAATTTTGGATTTGATCCCCTTTCTATGCAGCCCTGATGACGGGGCCGTGTTGTGTCGTGTCGTGACGTGGGCCCCCGAAATGCGTTGGTTGTCCTGTTTGGTCACATGATGAACGATTCTGTGTGTTGGCAATAAAAACCCGACCCGTCCACACTCCATGCAAAACAAAAACCGTACAGGATCTGGAAC